TAATCAAATCTCTGCTTTGCTATCAGGAAAGGTAATAAAATAGAGAGCAGTAAAGGACCAAGTGAACCAGAGACTCCACCAGCTTGAGACCAGAAGAACTAGATGGTACCTGGCTACCACCAATGACCGCCCTGACAGGGAACAGAACAGAAGGTCCCGGGCAGAGCGGGAGATAAATGTAGACTAGAACTCAAATTCGTGTAAAAAGACCAGACTTAGTGGTCTGATAGAGACTGGAGGAACCCCCGAAACTATGGCCCCTGATGCACTGATAACCCAGAGCTGAAACTGTTCCCTAAGCCCACTCTTCAGACAAAGATTAGACAGGACTATAAAACAAAAAATAATACACGTGAAGAATGTGCTCCTTAGTTCAATGAGATACATGAGACCAAATGGGCAGCTACTGTACAAAAGCAGTATGAGAAGGCAGGGAGGGACAGGAACTGGTTGAATGGACACAGGGAACCCAGGTGGAAAGAAGGAGTGTGCTGTGACATTGAGGGGATTGTAACTAATGTCACAAAACAATATGCGTATAAAGTTTTGAATGAGAAACTAACTTTCACCTAAAGTGCAATTAAAAACAAACAAAAAAGAAAATACAGAGCAGCAGAGACTACCAAGGAACTTGGCTGTTTTAAAAGTAAGGCCAGAGAGGGCAAGAAAGCTACAAAGAGTTAACAATACAGCATGGAGCAGTGGTCAAACAACTTCTCTTCTTGGGGAGGTCACAATGCATTTCCTAGCTATGGACCTAGGAAAGAAAGAGGGCTCTCAGGACGATGTATTTCCTAAGCTAGACATCGGTGGATTCTATAATGTCTTTTTGGTCCCCCTGATTACTTACCTATCTACCTTAACATAATCTATCTTAACAGTATCTACTATACTCTTATCAAAACTTACACACATAGTAAAGGGGCTTTTGTACAATCCGATCAACTGATCTGAGAATCTTTAGCCATTGGTATAAAGAAACTGCATATGGCGTTGTCATATGAAACCCAGGACTATATCCTTAAGCCTTTTAAAGTCCTGATGGAGTCTTCATTCCCCTATCAAGTCTGTGGAGGGTGACAATGGATAAGACCATTCAGGTTATCAGCCTGAGCTTCTGGTTTTATCACATAAATCCATGTGGGAGTGACGTTGTTGAGATTTGTCAAAAATGTAAATGCTTTCTTTGCACTCTGTGAAGACAGAGATGCAGTATAAAATGAGAGAATTCTGAAGTGTATTATTTGTAGAATTATAGGCAATAAAATGTGATCTCTGAGTATTGTGTTGGAGGGGATAAAATTTTTCTCTAAAAATAAATAATAGTGTATCATACTTCTAGCTTATCAATAATTTTGAAATTCATTTTTTATTAGACAAATAACTTTCTCTTTCCATGGAAATGCTGATGGACAAAAAAAAAAATGGCCATAAG